CTGGAAATATTTGCCATGTCAGCAGCTGAACCCGTGGATCTTGGATCAGCCTCAGTCGTCATTTCCAGACTCATTGATGACTGACTTCCCTACTTACTGGAAGACTGTCCTCATATCGAAGGGCCACTGCTACCACCAACCAATAACATGGCCAAGGTAGCATGGAGCTCTGTGCAGGCTATGAAACTCATTGAGTAAATGCTCGGGTGGCTAGTTTAATGATAACTGGGGTACATCTACATGAGCTGCACACACAGAACTATTTGCAGTGTAGACACACACACAGATTTCCATGGAGTTAAAGTGAGCCATTATTACTCGATGTATTCCTCCCCATGTTCCCTTGAACTGGGGGCCATATACTGTAAAATGAAAAGAGACAGTAACTTGTACCAGAGGGAAATGACAGGGCCAGGGCATGATACAACAAAGTGAAATACCTGCTGTAAGACTGCATATGGAGAGGGCATGCACGTGTGTGGCTGCAGAAATCACAGCAGGGAGATTTGATAGGAAGCTCTGAATAATAAACTTATTTAGCATACTGATAGCATAATATAGGCCACTGCCTGTGCGTGCTTCTGAGGAGGTGCAATTCAGGAAAGGGGGCTATGCTCTTTTAAGACACTTTTGCTCCTACACAGTTCTGGAAGTCAATGTGGTCTCTGATGTAAGGTAGGTCTTAGGGGCACCTCTAGCTTGTGGCACTTTTTCTTCTGCAGCTTCTAATGCTTTGGAGTGCAAAGTACTGCAGCCTGTTCCTATATTCTTGCCCTCTTCCTGCCCCTGGCACATCCAGTGTGTAAGAAGTGGTGAGGATTGGGCTAGGCCTGTAGAGACAAGGCCAGGCATATGCAGACTTGTGTCAATAAGAGTGACACTGATGTTGTTCACTGCTTTTGGCTTCTACATTTAGCCAAACTCAAATCAGAAATGAGTGGTATTGTTTAAACTGATTTTTGTCTGTCTCTCTCACACACCTACACACACACATGTACACACTACTGATTAAAACACTTCTATGAGTCCTTAATCTCTTCAGGGCTGGGGTTTCTTGACATTTAGATGTTTCCAGTATTTGTTAGCATTTCTTCCTGCACAATCAATTAATTTCTAGCCTGGTCCAAACTTCTGCACCCACATAAGCATCATGAGCAACTTCTCTCAGCTCTGTGACTGTGGAGGTGCTGCTTTCTGACTAAAACAGTTCCAAAGATGCCAAGCTGGATTCAGACCTAGAGTAAGCAAACTCCATTGACTGCCATGAAGATCATGCCCCTAGCCCTAACTTGGTCCCAGTAATCTCTACAGAGATTAAAAACTTTAGTGGGAATGAAACAAGTGACTGGAGGCCTAATATTTGAGTGTTTGCTCTGCCACTGACTGTTCCTGGGACACTGGGAAAATCACTTTACTGCTCTGTGCCTCAGTTTCTCCATCAAAGAAAAAAGTGACAATAGCAGCTACCTAATTCACAAGCCTGTTGTGAGACTCTTTTAGTGAGTTTTCTTCCTATGAAAGGGGATAGTGTAACCTACCAATTCAGTGGCCCGCATATGAGGATAAACGTCGACTGTTGATACTAGCTCACAACAAGATTCCTTTAACTCAGTGGAAGACAACCTGTTTGGCAGGTGGGCCACAAATTAGCCACGCACCCTCTTCAAGTGCCATTCTGATCTTCTTCCCCTACCCAATCCCCAACTCTGCTTTCTATGCTCAGCTCTGTGCTCCCAGCCTGATCTGCTGCTCTGCCTTCTGTTTCCTTCCCTGTGTTCCCTGCCTCATTTGCTGCTTTGCTTTCTGCCCTATCTGCCACTGTGTTTCTTGCCCCCTCCCTGATCTGCTACATGCCACACAAAGGCTGCCTGTGCAATTTGTGGCACCCATGCCAT